ACCAGCAACAGCAACAGCAACAGCAATAGCGACAGCGACGCGACAACAGCAACAACAGCAACAACGGCATGCAACAAGAATAGCAACAGCAACAACGGCATGCAACAGGAATAGCAACAGCAACAACAACAACAGCATTCTTGAAAGCCGACATCAACGTCATCATCATCCAAGTAACGCTTATCATCAGCGGGGCCATCACCAGACTCGGCATGATCATCGTCGTCATCCTCATCCGCCTAGCAGGGCAAAAGCAATAACAGTTGTTTTCGCCAACCGGCTGACACGCCGCCTGCACACCCTTTTTCGGCATCTTTTCGTTCTTGCTGCTTCGACATTTTGCTCTAGAGCGTGCGTCTTCCTCGGGTTTTTGAACATTGATCATCTCGTTTTGTTGTTCGTCCTTGCTCTGTTGTTGATTTTCGCTTGCACTGAGATTTTGCTTTTTTACGAGTCCAAAACTCGATTTTTTGCTGTTCTTCTAGCGCGTTTTATGTTGGAAGGGCCGTTTTTCACTGCATGTTTACAGGTGATTCGCCGTTTCTTTCTTGTTGTTTCTGTGCTGTGCTTTCGCAGACTCTCGTCGTTATGACTGCATGACTCCGTTAATTCCCACAAAGCATCCATGTGGCAACCATGATGACGTCCACAAAGACTCCGTCTGCTTTTGCAGAGCATCCATGTGGCAACCATTATAACGTCCACAAAGACTCCGTCCGTTTTTGCAAAGCACCCATGTGGCAAGCATGATAACGTCCACAAGACTCCGTCTGTTTTTGCCGAGCATCCATGTGGCAACCATGATATGTCCACAAAGACTCCGATATTTCCAAAAAAACATGTGGCAACCATGTTGACGTTCACAAACACTCCGTTCGCTTTTGCAGAGCATCCATGTGGCAACCACGATAACGGCCACAAAGACTCCGTCTGTTTTTGCAGAGCATCCATATGGCAACCATGATAACGTCCAAAAACACTCCGTGCGTTTTTGCAGAGCATCCATGTGTCTACCATGATAACGTCCACAAAGACTCCGTCCGTTTTTGCAGAGCATCCATGTGGCAACCATGATAACTTCCACAATGGAGCTGGGCGTATGCTTTGCAGTGGTCCGTTGAAGAGGCGTTGCCTCGTGCGCTTGGGCGCTAGCGTGCAGCCGAACTGGAGTTCGTGCGCAGTCTGAAAAGACTCCTCCTTACATGTTTGACATATGGTCATGTTTTTGCCTAACTTCCCTTCACCTCCCAAAATAGCCCTTAGGAGCCAGAATGCCGTCAATTACAATACTTTCGGGTTTTGGGAACGTGACAAAACGCAGGGCGGCAGGTCAGCCCGCCTACCTTGTTTTCGGATCCAGCTGCACGAACACTTCTCATGGCGCGGACTTCTCTGCTGGGGCCTGCATCGGACCTGACCCCTACGCAAGTCGCAGGAAACCTCCGAGATGGACCTGCAAGACTCTGCGGCTTTAGAGCTTGTAACACCACAATACCTCATTTCATACAACCTAGGCTTCCCGTAAGATTTTGGGAACCCTGACAACTCCAGACAGCCTTTCCACATCCGCAGCTCGGCACAACTCACAGGGGCCCCTGCCTCAGCGATTTGCTGGATCTCCCGCTGCTCCTTCGCTATGAAGATGAAATCAGTCTTACTGTAAGCTTGCCTTGCTTTGATACCACCGTCCTTGCCCTTGCCTTTGCTGATTTCATGATGAATTAACATGTTTTCAAGATTGCAAGAGTATACGACAAGATCTTGACATTTTCAGAATAATGACCGCGATTATGAACAAGAGTTCTCGCAGCACCACTAAGAGTAACAGTGGGAGGTTTTGTTGTTGTCCCGCTCCTGGGACGACGACCACGACGACGACTACGACGACGACCACTGCGGCACTACTACTGCCACAGCTGCTCCCTTGTACGAGCATCGAAACGCTGTGGTGGCCGAAAAAAGCTGGCTTCCCTCAGGGATCTAGCTGTTGTTTGTAGCACCGTAGAAGAGAGGCGCTGAGTTGTTCGGTGCTGCGCGATGTCGCGGATTAAGCTGGTTCTTACAAACCCTGCCGCGTTCCGCGCACGGCTATAGCTGATGATATTTTCTTACATCATTATGCCGATTCCGTGCTATTCTCATTGCTACCATGCCTATTGCCATCAATTCCGCTTCTCATAATTACTTCGTTTTGGTACCGCAAGGCAAAGACTGACAGAATGCTGAGGCTGCTGACGATGATGGTGGTGAAGGTGATGTTATTGCTATTGCCATTCATACTTGCTGTGCTGTTTCGGATAGTTCCTGCTAATATTGCTAGTCGCGCGGCACCTCGCAACAATGCTCTTTGCATGATTACCAGTGGCAGTAGCAGCGGAAGAAGCAGTGCCATGACCATTGCTGCTTGGCTGAGATAGTACTACTAGCACCAGTTCAGGGTCGCGTTTCGGATGCGTGCTTATATTGACTTATTATCGGCTTCGAGAGCATGTGGGGAAAAATCGGGACCGAAAGGTTAAGCTGAAGTGTGTTGATGCTATAAGGCTTGCGGATTGCATGGCCGCATGGCTCCTGCTCGGCCAGCCATTTTTGCAGCTGCTCCTTGGCTCTGCTTGGGTTATGGGATCCTAACTCACAGTGCCTGTCTTTCAGAGACTGACTGTCTCAGAAGCCATGGGGAAGCACTGCAGATAAGCTTTTTGGGATTCAGGGGTACCAAGCATTCGAACTTTGCGCACCCAGCTTCTGACTGCTCTTGCTACACCGACCCAAACATACCAGATGCCCTGCAGTTTCGTGTTACATCCTACTGTTTATTACAAGTTACATATTATCTAAACAACTCTCTTCTGGGATGCCCCAGGGCATCAACATGAGCACCTTTTCCCTGTGCCCGCCGAGGGGCCAGGTTCAGGCGCAAGGCATCTTCCAGCCTTTGCACTCTTTGAGGAAAGAAGAGACTGGCGTGTAACAGTTGGCAAAGGGTGTTGGGGGTACAGACAAATGGTATCTATAAGGAAGAATCTTGAGAATACTCTTCTAATCAGAATCATAACGGCACCTATTTAAGACAGTGGGGTGACGGCGCACTGGCACGCAGGGCCACGGAAGATGCTCTCCAAGGCGCTCCGCAGTGCGAGGAGCATCTTCATCGACCGCTCCACCCTGTCAAGCCGAGGGTGGGAACGGAAATCCATCGATACTAGGCCTTACGGGTCCTTACGACAATTGTAGTATAGTATACCCCAAAACCCTATTCTAATTATGAAGGCCCCTACATTATTCTACCCGACCCCCTAAAGCAGCCCTTGGATGCAAGATCCCCCAAAAGCTGCGAGGAGTCTTGGATACGGGATCTCTGAACCCTGAACCCTAAACCCTAAACCCCTAAACCCCTAAACCCTAAATCCTAAACCCTAAACCCTGAACCCCTAAACCCTAAACCCTGAACCCTAAAACCGGCGAGGAGTCAGGGCCTTCAATTTTGTTGACCTGGGGAACTTGTGGCCGTCCACCTGCTCCATGGGCCACCTGGAATGGCTTAGGGTTTGGGGGTTTTGGGTTTCGGGTTCAGGGGCTTAGGGTTTGGGCGTTTAGGGTTTAGGGTTTCATAGGGATTTGGGGTTTAGGGGTTTATAGGGGGTTTAGGGCCTAGGGGTTTAGAGTGTAGGGGTTTAGAGTTGAGAGGTTTAGGGTTTATGGGTTCAGAGTTTGGGGGTAGTTTAGCTCCTTTGGGTCCTGCAACCTACTGCGCCCTATGCCCAGGAAGTCAGTTTCGAGGTCGGCCTCAGGAATTCTGCGGCTATTAACATACGGAAATGGATGGCTTCTGTTGCAACGACTCTGTCTGCGCAGCTTCAATACTGAGACTTCTTCTGCTGCGGCTGCTGCGACTGTTGTCACTGAAACTGCTGAACCTCTGCCGATGGTTATGATGATCATGGTGATGGCGATGCAAAGAACGACAGTCCAAAGGAGGGCTCAGGCCCAGTGCGTGCCCGTGAAACTCGAAAGAAGGACGAACCGCCCAGCTGAGGTCTGCACACCACAGGCTTGCCATGCGATAGGACAACTCTAAACCAGGCTCGGCTGAGATGTCTGCGGAGGAATTTTGACAATCTTTCCAGGCGGATGCGATGGAGGTTGCGGGCTGTGCGCTCGCACAGGTACCAGGCTTGCAAAGGGACGACGGACAAGAACTGCTTCATGTCGGTTGCTTTCACGCCACTAGAATCCGTAATTTTCACTGAAATTGGAAGCATGCGTTCCCAAAGTGAAGGAACCTGCTGCTGGCGCAACAGATCGGCACCGGGCCACGAGCCCCACAATAGTCCGTAAGTCCTTCCTGGCAATCGTTCCAACAACATCTGAAAGAACCTCAAACGCACCTTTCAAGTGCTGCCAGACCTCCCTGTCAGATATCCAGCCACCCAGGCTCGGCACAGGTGCCCATCGTGGCCGACAGATGCGATCCGATGAGCATCCTCGCCATGAGATCGCATGACAGTTGGGAGTCTGACTGAAGCCATGCTGCCTTTCCCTAAGGGTCCATGTACCCATATAGTATATACTTTGGCCCCAAAGTACCTATATAGGGACTACTTTAAGGCCAAAGTATATGTTATTTGGGTACATGGACCCTTAGGGTTTTACAGGGGTGCAAGGTGAAAGGCTTGAAACAAAGGAAGCTCAAGGCAGGGGTATGGCCTGGGGTGAAACGTGCAGAATCAGATAATTCACGTATTCAATGTCGTCTTCAAGGAGATGCCACCGGTAGGGTAATTGCGGCTTTTTTGATCAATTTGGGGTTTGGGGCTTCAGGTTTAGGACGCAGTGTTGAGAGAGCTTGAGGGTCTAGCGTCAGTGTGACAGCATCGCGGCGGTAGTACCAATGGAAGATGATCAGCATGACGAGAAGGCATCCGCCTTCGTTTTGATCTTGGAGGGTGTGAGTGACCCGGTCCTTCACTCCTTTTTCTGCGCGCCTACTGCGAAAGCACTCATGCCCTTGGCTGGCTGGACATTTCCTGAAACAAGGCCGGGTATAGGAAAGCATCCCAGAAGCAAACGCCGGCGAAGGCAGTCAGGCCAGCAGGCACCACGCCATACGCAAAAGCATAGAGTGGCCACACTGGGACTCCCCGTTTCGCCAACTTCAAAAGCCTCGTCGCACCAGCTTGAGGGTCCTGATAGGAGTTTCAAGTTTCAAGGTGTCAAAATTCGCACTCCCCTGATTCCTGGCTCCGAACTACCAATCTTTCAACACTAGCACGATACACGATACCTACCTCTCAGCCATATGTGCTGTTGTTGCTCCCCTCCGTCATCCTTAGCCTTCTGCATGTCAGGCACTTGGCGAAGTGCAGACACCAAGTACGTGCTCATCGGTGCGCTGCAAACCACGGCCACATCAGTATCCGGCACCGACGAGACCGCCACCTGTGCCGAATCCAGGGGTTTGATTAGCAGTTGAATGCTGCTGATTAGCTCCTTGGGCTTGGGGTGTTGACAGAGGCACCGGTTTCGGAGTGCATGAGACTGAGGCCACCTGCTGTGCCAAGTAAAAGCTGCGCTCATCAATCAGCACGTCATGCGCAACGGGACAGCAGCGCTCCAACTCACGCCGGATCTCTTCTGCATCGTAAGGCAGCGCAGGTGACAGACTGTCCCGCTGCTTCCTTAATGAGTAGCCAGCAAAGGACAGGAGGCCCTGCAGCAGCTTGGGATGCCAAAGCCTGTGAGCGACTCGACTTCGAGTAGCGGATTGCGGCCTGTCGATTGGCAGGATAGCGGCACCGACACTGCGAGCTGCCTGGAGAATAGGTGCTAGTTCATGTTGAAGAAGTCCTCCATGGACGTTGCCCAGCAAATCCAGCTTCCTTGGCTGCTTAAGAGTCCTCAGACCTTTTACTTTTGCTGCCTCCTGCGAATGTGAGCATAGTGACATAGTGAAAGGACTTCTTAGTTCAAAATTTTCTCGCAAGCAAAGCCGACGTTTCGATGGCGGCCGCATAGGCAGACCCATTTGTAAGGATGTCATGACCTGTCCATACCGACGCTGGCATAGCTCCACCATCACCTGGCATGTCAGATTTGCAGCAATGTGGAGCAGATGTCCGCCTGCAAGGTAAAAGTAACCGCCCGCGCTGTGGTCACTACCACGTCATGTTCGACCCCCGAGATGACTTTCAATTCTTCCACTTTAAACCCTGACTGACCCTAAAGATTGGACAACTCAAAACGGCCGTCTACGATGCACATCTGCAAAAGTGTAAACCCTCTTCCTGAGATCTCAATTTGCCATGAAGAACCCTCCATCTTCATGTGCCTACTTATATGTGTGTGCAGTTCTAAGCATGCAAAAACTTTCAAGTAGCAAGTTGAAAGTGTACGATATACACTACACACACGCACAAACACGCGCTTCTCCGCACCTTTCTGCCTCATACGACAATACCAGTCTTCTCTGTCTTCTTGACATCACCAATTTAATAGTTTGGGGTTTTAGGGGTCTGTTTTCCATGGCTTACGTGCTTTCGGGGTATCTCTCCTTACTTGGAGGTTCATGGGTAGTTATAAGCAGGGTTATAGGTCCCCTAATATGGGTCATAACTATAGTTACCCTACTTATAACCCCACTTATAACTCCCCATGAACCTCCAAATAGCAGAACCCTAAACCGTAAACCCTATAACCCTAAACCCGATAACCCCACTTCCAAGTAGGGTTTATGAAATCAAAAGAGGAGTCCCCTAGCATGTCCCAGGCACCTGGCGCGGAGCAAGGGCGCTGATCGCCTGCGCGGCTTCTTCGCCGCTTCCTGGGCCCTTGAGGCGCCCGTGCCTGTGCTGTGCGTGGGGCTCTGGGCGAGGAACTCAAAGCTCAGTTTGAAAGAGTAAACTATAGTATGTATATATATATATATAGAAAGAGCGAGTATCGTATATACTATGGTCAAATAGTAAGTTTCAGTAGAAACGATCAAAAATTCAGTTTGAGGTAAGATAGTAAGCTATGGTATATTACACTATGGTGTCGTATATTACAGTAGAGTAGTATGTTGTAGCTGTTATATAGTATAACAGTATATTATAGTATGTTGTACAGTAGTATAACCCTGAACTACTTACTCTTCATGTCCCTCAAAGGACATGGCTGGCTGCTTTCAATTCAGGCCTTGGACGACCGGGGCTACACGTTCCTGGCTGACTCTTGGGGTTCCGTACATGCCGCAGGATTGAGGGACATGTAGGAAACGACAGCACGTTCTGCCAAGTATTGCACTGTACATCGTACGATGTTCAGATGCAACTTGAAGTATTGAGAGTTGAAGCATTCGGGTACCGACAGGGGCGGAAGTGGGAGATGGGAAGTCCATGGTGGAGACGAACAATGGCCGATGACCTTCCTCAACATCTAACCAGATTTCTCGCAAGAACGGGCTTGTAGGTCTTGTGCGGGTTTCGTAATTAAGGGCTTTGTCGGCTCTTATAAGACAAAAGCCGACACTAATGGCCTGCCCTAGGTGCAGAATGGGCAAAATCGTCAGATTCAATCGGCTCTGGTCAGCCCCGGGCAGTTCCAAGCGCAGAGCTTGCTTTGGTAAGCTGGCAGATGCTGCACGTCGGCAAGACGCGAACATGGCCATCGGATAGTGCGAAAACCCTCTGGTGTCCTCTTCTAGCTGGCGAACTGTTGCAAGTGACACTGCTATGACGGCTTGTTGAGTCTTTGGGAAGGTTCAGCGGACGTAACTGATCTCTTCAGGGGCCCGTCCTCCAAACACAACATGCGTTGGTTGCATAGTGGCGGTTTTGGGTCGGAGTCTAGGCCAGACAGAGTTTACAGAAGCTGCCGGCAAAGGCATCAACTTTGATGCAGCTTGCTCAAGGCGGCTCAGAAAGCAAGCATTCTCAGCAGGAGCCCGAAAGATGCCTGATCACATGCTACTTGGAGGTTCATGGGTAGTTATAAATGGTACTATAAGTAAGGTAACTATAGTTATAACCCATATTAAGGGACTTATAACCCCACTTATAACCACCCATGAACCTCCAAGTAGCACTTTCAGCATCCCCGAACAACCAATGTGCGCAGCCTGAGCCTCCAAGCCATGCATCGAAAATTGATACTCCTCCTAAACCCCACACATGACATTGACCTCGAAGTCTTCCAGATCCGCAAGAAACTAGCAGGTTTTCGTCGGCTCGCCGCCCGCATCCCTCTTTGACGCCGCCCGGGCGTCGATGCGCCGCCGCACTTCCTCAGAAGCATCCGAAGCCTCCGACGGGAGTTCTGCATTCGGCTCCATGCCGCTGGGGACCGACCAGGATAGCACTTCAAACAACGCCTGTAATAATAACACCAATTAAATTGCTGGTAATGGCAGCGTGGTGGTGCCTGTACAGATACGTTACGACCACCGGCACCGCGAAAGCACCACCACCTACTACTGCTAGTCCTGCTGCTGCTGCTTCCGTTGCTACTGCTAAGTGCTACTGCTACTGCTGCCGCTGCCGCTCCTGCTACTGCTACTGCTACGGATGCTGCTACGGCAGCTGCTGCTGCGACGTTTACTGCTGTTACTGCTGCTGCTCCTAACTACCACTCCGCCAAGTACTACTACTACTACTACGACGACGACGACGATGACGACGACAACTACGACCACTGCTACTACCACCCGCAGTAGAACCCCAGTTCTTTTCTCAGGCCTACGAACAAGTAGCACATTGACTCACAGTTGCCGAATCTCGGAGAGCGGTGTGGCTGAGAGACTTACAAGCACCAGGTCACTGCTGCAGCTCTTCGGGACCCAGTCTTCAAGCAACCTTCCCATCCAGGAGTGCCTCCCTGATGAGGAAGGTGTTGTCAGTCCCAGCCTCTGGTCTTTAAGTGGAGGTGGTGTGGTGTGCTTGCTCTCACGATGAAGGCGCGTCTCGCGATTCGGGGTGCAGGGTTCGAACTCGAGGAATCCTCAGCTCCCGGCCGCGAAGCCCATAACCTGCAACACGAGCAATCCCGTCCACATGCAGAAATCAGAGAGTTGTGTCGAGAGATCGTACAATTTCGATGCAAGAATAAGAGACTCATCTCCCGCCTCAAGGGCAGCATCCCGAGGCAAGCCTGCAAAGAAGGATTCGAGACCGAGGTCGGTGAAACCCCAAAACACACCTCTGTGCCTGAAAATCCCAAGAGAACCTGTCGCACAACTACGGTAAGCCACTGAAATCTGAAAAGTCTCTGAACGATAGATGCTGGAGCTGCAACGAAAAGCCTTAAGCCCGGATCGTTTGGGCGAGGTGACAACGCGGCTGATCCTCGCTACTCGCAGTGTCGGTTGATAGGTCCACGGCTCTCATGCGCTAGATCCAAGAACCGGGTGCAGTTCTCAATATATGGGTGGTTGTCAAAATTATGGTCCCTTTTTGGGTCCTTATTATAATACGGCACCTATTATTTAGAGTACCCCCAAAGGGACCCTAATTTTGACAACCCTCCATATAATACATAGAGCACTACGTGATGAAGACGTGACTGCCTGCCTCGGAACGACTCAGCCGATGCAGAATCCAAGTGGTTCGCCGTGATAAAGTCCTCGGCGGCGTGTATACCGACTGACAAACGTCCCTTACTCCCGACGATATCAGCACCATCATATCCATGGTCAGGATCCCAGCTTCACCATCACCATTATCTTCATCTTCTTCATCATCATTGTGATCACCACCATCGTCATCATCATCATCGTCATCATCATCATCATCTTCATTATCATCATCTTCTTTATCATCATAGTCAGCGTGACCGTCATTGACGAGCAGAGACGCATTGTAACAGCAGCTCAGATAAGAAGCCGCAGTACAAGAGTCATCTCAATCCCCGCACAAGCATGTACATGCTACATTGGCCTAAGGAGTCAGACCAGTGTTACAGAGGTGCTCTGCACTCAGGAACGCAGGAAGGTTCCAAGGAGAACTAACGCCGATCTTGCGGCCGCCCTCCCATTCAAGACACAGCGGCTGAAGATTGCGAAGCTGGATCTGGGGGGCTCGGCACTCGGAAGCCAAAACCCAAACCCTACTTGGAGGTTCATGGGTAGCTATAAGTGGAGTTATAAGTAGGGTAGCAATAATTATAACCCAAATGAAAGGACTTATAACCCCACTTGTAACTACCCCTGAACCTCCAAGTAAAGCCTCCCCTGCCCTAAACCCTAAACCCTAAACCCTAAACCCTAAACCCTAAACCCTAAACCCTAACCCCCTAAACCCCTAAACCCCTAAACCCCTAAAAAGCCCCAGTCTGGGCCTCCATGACCTTCGAGAGCTGCCCAAAAAGCTCTGCATCTTGTCCGACCTCCTGGACCTTGGTGGGAGCTAGGCCTTGGGGATATAGACCCTCTCAATAAGGTCCCTTTTAGGAGAGCCAAAAGTAGGGTTCAGAAGGGGTATCCTTTAAGGGATACCGCTAATAATAATACTGCCTACTTGGCTCACAAGGCCTGCAGTCTCTGGCTTACAGGAAATGATAGTAGCAGTAATGACGCTAGCAATGGTAATAGCAGTAGTAGTAGTAGTAGTAGTAGTAGTAGTAGTGGTGGTAATAATTTTCAAGCAAAGTGAAGTTGTCCATGCACACTTCAGCTCGATCTGGATTGCTGTAGATACTTGGAGCCTTATGCCGGGTGGTGCCAGTGGTGCTTGCAGGGCTTAGTACGGATGTGCTCCCCATGTCTAGTCAAACCAAAAGGCTTATTCAGTACAGTCGCTTGAAAACCCAGCAGAGTTTCAGGTGCATCGCCTACTCATATGCCCTGAGACAATACAGGCAGCATCAACATCAGCCCAAAGCCCCGAGCCCTTCAACTTCAACCTAAACCCAAACGCCCTGACCGACCTCACCCGACATGCTGACGTCAGTCCAGGCGCTTTCCGCAGGCGGTTGAGGACAGCTTTGGACTTCTCACGAACGCCTTGAAGGCCACAGAGTTTCCGACTCGCAGCCGAGTCAAGGCTCACGGTCTATGCGTCGGAGGCTCAAGCTAAACACTCGTCGCATGAAGGACGTCGCTGCAGCGACAGCAAAGACAGGTGAACCCTAGAGCCACCCACCCAGATGTAGAGTTGAGGCTTGCGCCGACGGGTTCATGGAAAAGATCTGAAAGTCATCCAAATGCAATGCAAATGCAAAGAACCAGCGTTGCAAGTTCAAGTTGAAGCATCTTCCTCAGAGCGCCCCAATATGAAAACAAGCCACGGCCGCCCCAAAAAGCCCTCCCAGCATTCCTGTATTCTCGCCAAAACCAAGGAAGAACTCAAGAAACACCGCCCAAATCGAAGTATCGAGAGAAGGAATCGGAATCCCTACAGTCCCTACAGACTAAGCTTATGTAAAAGGGCAACCACAATACCTGTTACTGCCACTCTTCATCTAGCTACCACTATCCCCCCCAGAAAACCATGCCTCGGAGCAAGAAAGAGTTCTCCGCTCCAGCCAAGCCCATGACTTGCAGCACCTTTGCAGTTTGGGGTTTGGGATTTCGGGTTTCGGGCTGGGGGTTAGAACTTGGCACCGTATGGTCCTTATAGTAAGGATCCTACTCGTCCATTCTGGGTTATATTTGGGTGCCGCATTCAAGGGTAAGGGCTGCCCGTAGGGTTTGTGGTTCGGCGGGGAGTTCTATTTCAGTGACCGGGAAAACAGAACGATGAGGCCGGTGCTGACGGTTTCATGATGATCACAAGACAAAGCTTGACTTAAGGACAGTGCAATCGCGTTGAAGGGGGTTCAGTGTCTGCGGTCCTTATAGGCCCCAGACACTAGACTCATGCCCTTCTTCTGGGAGCCCGAGCCGTCTTCGCATCCAATTTCCGCAGAATGGCGCTGGTTCGCTCGTCCAAATCCTGAGCATCCTACTGAAGGACCAGATCTCACAACTTCAAACCTCGGAGAACTTCAAAAGCCACTCGTGCTAGTTGCTACTTCCTGCCAGGTTGTGAAGTTGCTTCGTAAAATAAGCACAAATGGCACCCTGAGTTGAGGACGGAAAGCTACAGACAGTTGCTTGACTCTTAAGGCTTGCAACGTAGTTGTTGCAACACGGAATGTGCGTGACAGCAAAAGATAAACATACGACTGAGGACTGAGGTTGCGCCAGTTGCGATGGGCATCCAGTCAAGACTGCCCGTGTGGCTGAAGCAATCCAAGACTTGTGTGGCAGGTATACACAGGCTGCAGAGAACCGACTCAAACAGTTGAAACAACCAGCTCCAGATGCAGCGGATGTCTGATGCTGCATGATGTCGATGCGGCCGTGATGTGTGCAATTTGGGAAAACCGCTTCCCAACAGCACGTGTATGCATGGGGTCATATTATGGCATATCTCTGCCGCTCTGCCACTGCATGAGCACGCTCCTGCACCTTCTCTTCTAAGCTTGTTCTATTGGGTTTCCACGGTTCATAAAGAATGGTATGGTATTGCTTCATGTGTTTAATACGACAAGAGCTCCGAATCTCCAAATCGATGCCCAAGTCCTGAACGGGGTTGCGGTACCTAGCCTCAATACATGTAAACACCTGAACAGTCACACCACGGACGGAAAGCTTGTACTTAGTTACTTCTCCAGCCGCGTGTAGTATTGCAA